GGCAAGCTGCTTGCAAGACAGGAAAGCATTAACCATGTTTTGCAATGACATAGAGAAAAATCTGAGGCTAGGACAAATTTCTGGCCAAACTTCAAGCTGTTCATAGCAGTATTTCCCCCTCCTTTGAACCCAAGGTAGCCACAGTCCAGTTCGGAGAGCAGTCATGGCTTGTAGCTCTGGCTCCTTGAAGCCTCTGGCCCATAAGAAGGAGGGATGAAGCTGTTCCCAACACAGAGTTTTGGTTGTTTACTGGATGCAGTTTAGTCTTTTAGGTCATTGTGCAAGCTGCAGTCCCACCCGTCCCAGGAGGACAACGCGGAGGTTTCCTGGAAAGGGATATGAGGCCCGTTGCGTCACTAGTTCCTTGCTAGAAGTTTTGAGGGCAATTTCTCTTGATCTCGCCAACATCTCAGCCAGCAATTTGTACTTGCTGTCACATGGCGGGAATGGGAACTTCTTCCTCTTGCCCTATTTGGCTGCACAAGCCGTGGGAAGGGCAAAGAGGAACATCAGTGAAGGAAGAAGAGCACATTGATTCAACAGAGCAAGGGAAAAAATGAGGGAGGAGGAAAGCAGAAAAGTGACATGAGAAATAAGAGCAGCGGAGGAGCAGAGGCTGCGCCTGGAGCTCAGGGCTCATGAGGCCCGGCAGGATAGAGCTTGGGCCCGGTTAAGAGGAGACCTGCCAGCAAAGAGAGGTTGCCTGCGCGAAGGGCCAGCTCTTCGGTGTAGTTGTGATTTGCATCAGCACATGCATTTTCACCTGAACTCCGGTGTGTTTTGTCCTCCAGCAAAAAGCTGGCAGCTCCCATCCGAGGTGGAGCCAGGTGGCAAGGGCTGGTGAAAGGGAAACCACTGTATTTAAGGGCCTGAGCCAACTCCGGGGCGTCCAAGTAGCGCTTAGGAGCGAGAAGGGCAAAAGCTCTTCCCAGCAGYGGGCTGGGATCCATACCCTGGTGGGAACCCGAGCCCTGCTTGGAGCGGACCCCGCTCCTCTGACGAGCAGCAAATGCTCATTTCCAGGCTGGCCTGTGGCTCCAGCTCCCCCCTCGGGAAGCAGATGATTTTACATGCCTTTTCTTTGCTTCCTTCCTCAGTGCAGAGGGAAATACTTGTGGTTTTGCAAATGCTTCCGCAGCACAGACCAGGGTGGCAGCTCTGAGTGGAAACCAGGAGCGAAGCCGTGGCCGTGGCTTCCTGAGATGGAAAATCACGCCGGCACACTAAGGTCCTGCTTTTAACAGCTTTTCCCACCGCACTGTTGCTGCTCTTTCTGGACACCGAATGTGATTGCAGGAACCCAATCCCATGGCCAGTGCCTGGCCCTGCTGCCTCCTGCTCCCTCCTCCTCCTCGCCACCGTGCACCGGGTTGTGAGTGCACCTTTCATTTCACAACACACTAGTTCTTCACAGGGACTCAAGTGGATTTTTCTTTTTTTCCTGCTCTTGGTAAAATCTGCTTCCCACTACAGAAATATGATCTCTCTAGTCCTGTGCTGTGAGCACGTTATTTCAGCCCTTTTGTCCTGTTTGTGTTAGTGGTCAAAAATGCCCTTGAGTCACAACATTCTCATTCCCTGTACAGGCGGTCATGTAGGGGACAGTTCTCCACTGGCCAGGGTGAATCAAGAAAAGGTGTTTTCTGCTTTAAACCTGGGCCTTTGGGAAACTCAGATGAGGTGGAGCAGCTCAATGAAGGGCTGTTCAGACCCTATAGGGCAGTCCAGACCCTGCAGCTCTGCAGGCAGCTTCCAAGTCTGGTTCTGGCCACCAYGCAAACGCAGGCTGTGGTGTGGGAATGGGGGTGAACGCGTGTGAAGAGGGAACGGGGAGGGTGGCCGTGTGGGCACCTCTGCTCTCGCACGAGCGCCGTGCTACAAAACTGCAGCCCGTGCTGGCTCTGGTGACACTGTGCTAGAGGGACCGGCCTTCTCAGGGGKTTCCACACTCCACTGTAGGCCTTGCAGGTGGCTCAGTCTCTCTAGGCTGCCATGTGTGTGATAGGCCTCGGGGCTACGTTGAACCTGGTGGGACCTGGAGAGACTCAGGGCAACATCTGGAGCTGTGAGGCCCGGCACCAGTCCCTGTGGTCTGCYCTGCTTCGTTGCTGGAGGGGCCCCTGGCAGGGCTTTGGCCTGGGATGCTTTCCCAAATAACGATGATCTGAGATAGGCAGCGTGACACTGGCTGGTTTTGGAGGCTGGGGTACTTTTGCAGTTGAGACACRGACCCTTCAAGCTCAGTGTCAGTTTCAGTGTAGCCCAGATGGGCCACTCGGAGCTGTGAGTGTGTCACTGTGCAAGGAGCACCCCAACCATCGATCACAGAGACCCTGTGCCCCAAGAGCCTTGACTTGAGCACCACTTGAGAGCAGGAGCTCCTGCCACCATCCTCTGCCCTGCCCCATGGCATGAGGGGCAGCTGCCTTGTGTGTGCAGCAGTGTTCAGGCCACTGTATCTCCCATTTCAGTGTGTTAAATTAAACCGAAAACCGGGTGAATTTAACATCCGAGCCTGCAGCAGTTCAGGAGCTACTTTCTCCATGGCTCAGCCATCCCTGCCRCAGAGCCTGCAGCACGTGGCAGAGGGACAGGGCAGGAGCAAGGGGCAGGAACCTCTTCAGCCCTCCCACCTGGTGGCCCCTGGGCCCGTGTGGCCTCAGGGACGCTCTGGGGCTGCGCTGCTTTGTGGTGTGACACAGCCCAGCACGAGGGGGTGTTGATCCACTCTAGGAGCAGGGCGCAAAGCAGGCAGCCGTGCTGTGGTCTGGATGAGTAACAAAAAGATGACTGCAAGCTGCAGAAACGAGGAGCTGACTTCATTTGTCTGCTAGCAGGGGCTAGACCCAACAGGCCGGCACTTACCTGCTTAGCTTTAGGCTAGGAACCTGCTAATATTAAAGCATTGTCAAGCGTGCATCACACTAACCCACACAGGGCACTAACAATCATCGTCTGCTGGACTTGCACCATGGCAGGCGTTGTGGCAACCCCGAGCCGACAGGGTAAGGCCGGGCTTATTTTGTCTAGGGCCACGCGCCACGTGCTGCCTGCCGCTTGCACCATCGTGTCGCGTTGTGTCGGATGGCTGCGTCTCCAGCCCCTCTGGGAGGGCTTGGAAACAGCTCCTGCAACACGGAGGGTTTGGGAAGCATAGCCTGGAGTTGATTTTCACTCCCCGCCAGTTGTTCTTGATGGACTAGATTAAGATGTCAGCGGAGATCTACCTGCGCCAGCGCGGCGTGCTCTTGGGAAATAAGTGTTGTTGCTGAGACATCCCTTGGAGAAGATTAATTCTGCATGGAGAAGCAGATTTTGCTAAGCAGAGCTGCTCTGTCTTGATGACTAATTAATTCTGTCTTCCACCCACACACCACGTACAGCTCGTAACGTGGAGGAGTCAGCCGCAAGGAGGAAAACCAAAGGGCACCCTCCTGTGCGGCTCTGATCCCTCCCTGAAATGATCCAGATCCATCCTGTGCCCAGGAGTGCTGGAARGTGGATCCTACCAGCATCACAGCGAGGGGCTGCGTCTTGCTTGTGTCACTTGTGGGAGACTGCCAGGAAACGGTGCTAAATAACCAGAAGGGAGATCCATTTATTCCCTGTCAATGTTTCTCACAGAGCCTCAGCACCACTTTGATCCAAGGAGCCGTCTCCAGAACAGTTTGGGTTATTCCAGAGAAAACAGATCTGTTGCCAAAGAGCAGGGGCTCCTCTGAAAGGAGGTGCACTTGGTTTCCAGAGGCATCAAAACATGCTGCAGGTCTTTGGCAAAAATTAAGTTTTCAGCTTTAAGCAAGCACCAGAGATGAGAAATAACATGGAAAGCAGCAGCCTTTCCCAGCTCCAAAAACGGAAACTACTTGAGCCCGACTCGAGGAGTCTGTGACCCCGGTCTGCTGCAGTCCCACCCACAGCTCGAGCGTGGGATCCAGAGGTGACCACAGTAGCACAAAACCCACCCAGAAAACCTGTGGGAGTTGAAGTTTGCTGCCAGGGGTCTACCTGCCTCACAGTATCCGAGTTAGCTGTACTTGAAGCCTCGGCTCCAGGAAATCTGCATGAGCMGCAGCTAAAGAGCAAGTGTAGTGAAAACATCTGCCCTGCAATTAAAGCCAGGTAGTTGCAGTTGCTTCCGTGCTGCTCTGTTATCTTTACTCCACAGCTCTTTTTTTTTTTTGTGCAATTTTTTTTTGTTCTCTTTCAGGCTAATGAAACAACTTCTCTCTTTTACTTTCWGGGCGCCAGTGCCTTACTTTCATTCTCCTCATTGCCTCATTGCCCATTTAATGTCTGGTAGTGACATCATGAGAATGAGAATAACCTATATGAATCAGGCCTGCCAGATTAAGGACTGCACAGAGAAGAGAGAGAAAAAAAAAAAAAAAAAGCAAAAAGCAAAGTAAAGGGACAACAGGAAAAGGAGGACAGCTTAAGAAAAAATAATGACTAGATAAAACGGGTCTAGTTATTAGGAAAGTCACGATCATTGCCTCTTCCYTCTATTCTTCTGTGAGAGTACAATAAAGAAGCCCAAAAAGATGTAAGTGGTATTTTGGGGAGAACACTTTACATTTGGCCTGGCTGTGGTGGCTTCATTTTATTGCTGGCCTGATCTGGTGGGCTGCAATGGGAGTTAGGTCTGATCATCTTTTCCTTTCATATCGTACTGGGTCTGGCTTTGGCTGGCCCATTGGTGTCTCAGTGGACACCTCTAGGATTGCAGCATATTAAATGTGGATATTTCACCTCCAGATCAGATAATTTCAGTGAGCATTGGGCTGRTGCACTGCGAGTGCTTTTCAACAGGAGAAGTGACTTGCCAGATGAAAGGAGTTAGGTCTGCATTCCCAAAACTTACTTCACTACCAGATCTTTTTATACTGCTACTTACTAATCTGTGTAGTATGTATTCACAGGAAATTTGAAAGTTTAATTGAGTAAAATGCAGTGATTTCACTTCCATGGCCTCAAGCTGCTCAGGTGTCTTGCATCCTAAAACTGAGTTAGCCTCACTGCTGGTAATACAAGGGTCTTCCTTGTACCTGTATTGACTTCCCAAGAGCTGTCGGGGGTGTAAATGCAGATTTAGAGATAAAAATATCTTTGAAGTACTATAATGGCAGTATATGATGCTCTGATATTTGTTTTTTTCAAGGCCTCACTGACAAGGAGCCCGTCAGACCCAGAGAATAACAACGTCGACAATGAGTGAGTAACCCCTGCGTTCATCTCCCAGCTCGTGTCTCTCCTTACCACCGTGGCTAAACGCTGCTCTGGTTTATCACATGCACTGAGTGACTCAAGGCATAGAAAGCTGCTTCCACCGCGCGTTCCCAGACTCTCCCACCACGGATAGTTGCACACACTGATTTCCCACATGCCTTCCCGCGTGGCTCTGGGCTGGTCGCTGGCCCCTGGACCTAGCAGAGGAGAGAGCATCTTCCAGCTGGCAGCCGGGAGTCTGGGGTGGGAGGGCCTGGAGCAGCACAGTCTGGAAGGGGGGAAGCAGAAGCAGGCAAAGCTGTCCTGATAACTTCTGCTGTGCTAAGGAGAAGTGGGAATAGCATCGATTTGCTTGTAGTCCTAAATATTCTGTCCTGCTCTGTTTAAAAAATCTAGAGATGTGTTGCCTGAAGAGATCGAGGCTCCAGCTTAGTACAGTGCACAGATTCATTCTTGGGCATGAGCAACGCGGAGTTAGGAAGTCCACATGTTGCAAAGTCATAGGGCAAGAGCTGTGCAGAAAACCAGGAAGGATGGCTCTGATGGGTAGCTCAGGCCATGATTCACCATAGGTCTCCAATGATGAAGTCAGCAGCGTGATTAGAAAGAGGAAAATATCTCTTTCCTCCCCAGGAATCACAAGGGTAAAACCTGTGATAAACTCCTGCACTGCAACTCCTAGAGACACGGTAGTCTGTCTAGACTGGGGAAAGGGGGGAACTTGCACTGGGCACCAAAGAGAAGAAACCCGAAATCACCTTTCCAAAAGCAAAAGCAACAGTGCCCACTGTGCCTCTAAGTCCGCCTGCAGTAAGGAGCAACAGGAACAGTTTGATGTACRTGTTAAACACAGCTGAAACTCAGAAGCTTAAAATACCACTTTAAACCATCACCTCCTTGTGCTAAAGAGTGTCTCTTCGAAACGTTATGGCCTCTGTGCCTGTCACGCCGGCCTGCTGCTCCTGAGGGGCCCGCGGGCTGGCTAACCTGGAAGACCCGGCTGCCAGGCTGCAACCTGCAACACCCGGCAGCGAGTCCTGTCACSCCTGGACATGCTGCCATGCACCCTCATGTGCCATTAATGCACGTGTCTGCAGTTGAACTCGATGATCTCAAAGGTCTTTTCCAACCATGATGATTCTATGATTCTAGCAACCGCGATGTTAGACCATAACTGCGATGTTGGACCATAATTTCTACTGGCAAGAGCTACGTGCAGACACTTTCTGGAAGTGCTTGAGCTTCTCAATAAAAGAGTATAACTTTGTGGAAGGAGTCAAACTGTGCAAGGAGTCAGAGAGATGGTTTTTAACCTGTGTAGATGCCTCATCCTTTACCATACAGACTGGTGTGGCTAGGCTTACAACCACCAAAATCAGCCTAGCCTTGGTAGGATTGCTTACTGAAGGCATAAAACCCATAAAACCAGTTACAAGAGAAATAAATGTCAAGCAGTAAGAAAATAACTAAGTATAGAGGCTGTAACGGGTGAGCTCGCTCATCTGCAACAGRAGCTTAATATTATCTGTCAAGGGAGCAGTCACACGAGAGAGGTGCAGACCTGCTGCACTCCAGAGCTTGCTCCAGGGCAGCAGCAATGAGGCAACATCCATCAGATGGGGAAGGAATGCCTGAAAACTCATGGACAGTGTTTTTAATAGTCTGGCTAAGAGTATGTTTGACACCAAATAAGCATCTAAAACAGGCACTAGTAAGTGCCTTCCAAGTGCATGGGAGTACAGCTTTAGGTATTCTTTATGGTATTGTGCTACTTTCCACCCCATGGTTGGTCTGTGACCCATTCTTAACACCTGGTAAGCCACAGGCTGGATGATACAGCCCAGGAATGGTTTATAATTGCTCRCAATGCTTGCATCACTGTCAGAGTTAGCCAGCCTTTTTTGACCCATTTTTGAGTCACAAGAGATTCAGAAGGCTTTTTAATGATTGAATTAATTAATTAATCAATCATTAATCAGTACAAGAGGGACCTAGATCTTCTAGAGAGGGTCCAACGTAGAGCGACAAAGATGATTAAGGGACTGGAGCATCTCTCATACGAGGAGAGACTGAGTGAGCTGGGCCTGTTTAGCCTGGAGAAGAGAAGGCTGAGAGGGRATCTGATCAATATGTACAAGTACCTGAAGGGTGAATGTAGGGAGGATGAGGCCAAACTCTTCTTGGTGGTGGCCAGTGATAGGACAAGGGGCAATGGGCGTAAGTTGAAACACAGGCAGTTCCATCTGCATGTGAGGAGGAACTTCTTTCCTGTGAGGGTGCCAGAGCCCTGGAASAGGCTGCCCAGGGAGGTTGTAGAGTCTCCTTCTCTGGAGATCTTCCAAACCCGCCTGGATGCCCCCCTGTGCTCTGGGTGTTCCTGCTGGAGCAGGGGGGTTRGACTAGAACCTCAACCATTCTGTGATTAATCCAAGACTTTCTCATTCTCAGGAAGATGATAAAAGACAATGGCCTAGATTCGTCCTACCTAATTTTTACACTTACCTGAGGTTTCTACCAAGGAGCTTGTCACCCTCACCAAGGAACTGCCCAGCTCCACAGCCCATGGCAGCATCTCAGCACTGCCATCCATTCCCATCACTGGGGAGGCTGGCACATCATGCCCCATGTCTTGCTCCAARATGGTTTTGCTGACTTTGGGTCTAATTTTGCCCTTTGCCTTCCGTTCTTCTCAGTGCATAGTTCATTGTCTTTTCACTATAAACAAATTCTTCTCCCCTTAATCTTAAAACACAGACAGGTCTTTAGCTGGGGTAGAGCTCATTTCTTGCTTTCCTTCTTCCTAAATTGCTTTGCCCTGTCCCTGTAAATCATTTTTATTGCTGCCTTCTAGACTCCCTCTAAGCTGTTAATAACTTTTTAGTAATGAGATATTCAGAAGTCTGCACCGTAATCCTGATGGAGTTGCATTAGCCTTTTCTTTGTTGTCCTACCGTGCCATACATTTTCCTCCTCTATGCTTTCCAGTTAGCTCTTTTCCTCCCAGCATTACTGTTTGCGGGCCTCTCTCTCCCCAGAACAGCTGATTTTTGAGTAATTTCCCCGCTTCAATGTCCTGACCTGTTATTTTCCAAATCAGAAAGTCTAATAGCCCTCTCTTGTATTGAGTAGGCAACGCCTTGACATGATTGCAATCCCTCCTTCTCCAGAGCTGACTATGTAGATCAGAGCAGCAAGGGGCCTCCTCTCCTTCTGGAGAGGCCACTTGCTCCAGGCTTTGTCCAGTCTGTTCTTGAAAATTTCCAAGAATGGAGGCTGCACAGCCCCACTGAGCAATCCGTCCCACTGTGTGGTGGCCTCAGGATGGAATCCAGACAGYACCTCTAATTTTTAAATTTACTTCATTTTTTTCTCTACTAAATAATACAGATTTTTGACTATACAGAAATAAAATGAGCAGCAACTTGCTTTTCCCCCTTTCTCTTTGATCATGAAATACAAATGGCACTGTTTTTTCCTGCCAAATTCTAGAATTTATATGGTAGGGGGCTGTTTGCTTTTGYCATTTTAAAAACACATGTAGTTTTCAGTAAGGTTGAATTTTACCTGGAGATTTTCTCCCATGATTAAAGGTCACCGTACAGATCAGGGCATCAAGAATAATTAACAGTGGGAAATTATGCAGTCCCTGAGAAGACAATGAATCTTCTGTGGGCCTGCAAGCAAGCTGCCGAGGGCTCTGCTTCTAATTCATCACATCATGTAAAATTAGTTTAAGGATTGTCACAGCACAGAGTTTAGTCAATAAATTGTGTGCCAGTTGTGTGTTTAGGTTTCCTGCATTTCCTTTTTCTGATTCTTATGAAGAATTTGCTTTGCAATTGCTCCTGTACATTTCTAGCTCTTGGACACTGATTTTAAACCTTCCCAGCTCCTTATTCTCTTTACTTCATGGAAACCAGATTGCTCATGGTATGTCAGAAGAAGGAGGATGAACAAAGGAATAAACAGAAGAACTTCCTTGCTAAATCCTCCGTTTATGGCTCTGTCAATGGACCTGGCAATGAAGGGCAATATAAATGCATGGGGGAACCCACATGGCCCAGCTGCCATGCTAGGTGGCTCCAGGAAAAACAGTAAAGTGTTTCTGAGAAATGCAGGCCCTAACACTGACATAGCTAGGTCAGATCAGCTGGATTTACTTCTTTCTCTCCTAGGCAGATAGGAACATAAAGATGCCATTAAATTAGTCTAGACTRTTCTGAGGTGACAAACGTGGGACATTGATTCCTGCCTGTTTAGGAAACCTGGTGGATACTGCCTTGCTCAAGGAGGACAACTGTGGGCTATCACAGAAGACTAACACTTCTGAAAGTATCGCTCAYATATGACAAAGCTTCCTTAGGAAACCTTTGCCAAACATTGTCCCTCTTTACGGGAGAAGGGAAACAGGTAACTGCARTAGTCTGCAGCTGACCTGGTGAGAGTCAGGGCCCTAGGTTAGATGAAGCCTTCAGCTAGTGCCCATATCCCACACCTGAGCCTTGTTCCCAACTGGATGGCACAGTGCTGTCCAGTTCAGATTTACCAACATGAATTTTCCCTAGCCCAGCACCTTAGCTTTACCCATGTCATGGTGCAACATGCCCAAACTTCCACAACTTGAACGTGGRGGCCCAAGTTTCTTGCCTACTAGTTCCTTAGAAAGTCAAAGGAATACAACCAGCTCATCAGCTTCCCTTGCATCCTGCAGGACAATATAAAACAGACCTGTCTAGTACTGTGAACTGTTGTGGTCAAATTCTGCAGAGGATTATTCACTATTTTTTTTCCTTATACAGAGAAAGAGGGGATAATCATGCAGGGAATCTATTGATTTTCATTGTACCACACATAAATCATTTCTGAGAATTCCAGTGAAAAAACATAGCATTTCTCTTCTGAATCTTACATCAGACATCACTCACCTGAGAATTATGTTGATATGAAAACAAATATAAGCTGTATAAGCACTTTGAGGAGGCCGAGTTCATTTTTTTGGTCGGAAGTGAAATCTCTTATTTAACCAGCTGAAGACAAGGAAAACAAAACCAAATTCCTGGAGTSATGCAGTGGTTTGGGAGGAGCAAATTGGCCATAGGAGCTCACTTTTGGAGGCCCAGTGTTCTATAAAATTACCTAACTTCTATCTCCACACCTCAAAAGCAGATGTATGAAATACCAAAGCAGCAGAAATGCAAACCGTCTTTACCAGTAACAGCCACAGGACATACAGATCATGGTCTGATACAAAAGAAAAACCTTTTCCATGCAAACTTGAAGCTAGTAACTAGTGTAAAGGTATGCAGTACTTTAATTAGACCTCGAACAAAGTTGACCAAAGAGTTATGGGAGCTGGATCAGGAACATCGTAAAGGCTTTGCTGTAATGAAGAAACAGCATGTCAAGATGTCAAGTGATGAGCAAGTGATGTTTTTGTGGGGTATGAAAAATAGAGGTGGTATAGCATCTATCTCAGCAAGTCGTGGTTGTGTCAACTTTTCCTCTTTTTTTTTTCCCAAAAAAAAAAAGCAAAACAAGGTGGTTCTTGTGTCTTCAGAGCTTCATTTTCTTTCATAATAATAACTAATTTCTTTAACCAGCAGGTGCTCACAAGAAAACAACARGAAGCCTGAGGAACAGTCCACGATATCGTATGATTACTCTGAGGAGGAGCTCATGGCAAGTATTGAGCGAGAGTATGGCCACTGAATGTGATCCCACGTGATGAGAACATCAAGCATGGAGCAAAACTGCTACTAACAAAACGACCCCTCATGCAGTGAGACAGCATGAAAGAGGTGGAAAAGGCAAGTAAAGAACAAGATGCCATGCGACTGCTTAGAAMGCTTGGAAGAGCTCTTGAGGAAAGTCCCTCCGACCAAGTCTGGGTGAGAACATGGAAAATCCTCACCAGCTGCTGTGTCTGATCAGTGCAGCTGGAAAAGGGACCATGACATCTTGTAAATCAATATTTAAGAGCACAATTCTAAATGGCATTTGCCTGTGAAGATACACCAGAATGTAAGTGTTGAGACATGGTGCTTTGGGGGAAAACCTCTTTGTCTTAACAGAAAAAAAAAAAAACGTAGTGAAATCATTGAATTAAATTGAGAATTGTGTAAAGGAATGTTGCATAAAATTAAAGTTCCTAGCACTTAGGAAAGACAGGACAAATTTGCTCCTTTTGCCATGCAGGCCTCAGTTCCAGGTCTGAATGTRGCACTGTATCTTTGAAAAGAGTTTCCAGTATGGGAAATAAAAGAAAAAAGGGAGCAAATCTCCACTTTGAAATGAAGGTAGGGTAATTCAAGAGTTCAAATCCCACTGCATGGACAAATGAGGTTCTGGAAAATGAGCAGGGAGCCTAAGATTTGTACAGAGAGCAGATGAGCCCCGACTTCCTCACACCTACAGTCGAAGTCCAACATCTTCAGGGGAGGATCCTCACAGAGATTTCTTCACAGCTAGTTCATGGCATGGATCCACCAGAGAAAACAGGAGGCTGCTCCTCTGTACCTGTTTGTCATCTGTTTTGAGATGCTACACATCATCGTAGAGCAGTTCTTTGCAGTCATTTCTCTGTGTTCAGAATTAGCATTCCTGTCTTTCCCATATATTCTATTCCTTAACAGCTAACCTGGAAGAAAAATCACTACACTTTATCATTAAAGAACTGAAAAGTAAAATGGAGATGCTGGAACTCCAAAGAAAATACATTTTCAGTGCTAACTGACAGCAAAACGTGGTATTTTATTGTTTCTGCCTTTATGTTATCTGCACCTTAATGTATTATGATTAACTACTTATGACCAGAAGTAGAAAAACATCTTAAGATGTTATATTTTTACTTCTCCTTTGTAATTTCTTATATCTGTAAAACAGAAATAAATGAATCTGTATCTTTTGTAACCTTTAATAAAGGCATAGAATGTAATTTTGAAAARGGTTGTCATTTTGACTGTTATTTTTGCATCCAGTGAACTTTGATTTGTCATTATCTCCTCTTCCTATGAAGAGAATTCTGAGAGAGTTTATTCACTCCAATTATGAAAGGAGGAGCTCCCATTCCCTTACTTGTCTTTCCTTGCCAACATGATAGAGCAAGARCCTCTATGTCATACACAGCTCAGAGGCCTAGTGAATCACTGCACAAAATCTGCAGAGAATAAGCAAAATGGAGGATGGCAGGAAGGAGGCAGATCCCAGAACACAAAGCTGTAATCCAGTCTGGAAAGGAGGCCTTGCTCCAAACCGCTCCGGGATGCACACTCATACATGGACTGTCTTCTCTGCAAGAGCCTTCAGCAAGACCAAACCTCGGCCTTCTGGAAGCTCAGATGCTGCCCCATCATTGAGCAGCGAGGTTTGGCAGGAACTAAGGCAGAAAGGGGCAAAAAAGAAAAGGAAACTAGTTTTCCATCAAGTTTAGCATCAGGAGCTCACATCAACATTGGCCAGGGCTCTTCAGTACCTCAGTGACCCAGAAAGAGCCTCCTCACAGAGAGGGCAAGTCCTTGCATTGCATAGAAAAAAGCATTACTTCAAATGATAGCACTTCATCTTTCAGTAGGAAAAGGCATTTTTAGACACATGAGTGTCTGCTTGTTTCTCTGCGCTGCRTCGGGAGTCAATGTCCAGGTTTTATACAGTTCATATTAGTTTTCAGCAGCTCTCAGAGAGCTGCCGGGGAGAACAGAATATGCTTGTGTGGAGAAAAGGAAGAGCACAGGGAACTCCAGTGCTGGTGCTGTAGACAGCTAGGGGTCTCCGGGAGGAAAAGAGGAAGGAAGACAGAGCTGTGGTTTGATCCGTGCCTGGGGGAGCTGCCTGCAACTACAGAACAGCTGGAGTTCTGTTATGGAGAACCCCRTAAGTGGAGCCTCCAGGATGCGGGATCTCAGCGTTCCTGCTGTCCCACGGACCAAGGYCTCCGGCACTCTCCCCTTCACGTTCCTTTAGCAAACACCGTTGTGGTTTGTGAGGCACCTGCCTGCAGCATCTCACCCCAGAGCTCACAGAGCAGAGCAGATAACGGGGTGAGAGCCCCCCGATTCGTCACGTCCAGGCCCCTGCTGTCATACAGTCTGCTCCGTAATTTTAACCAAGCAGGGAAGCAAGGATGAGTAGGGAAGCAAGGGTCGAGTTTCACCACAGCAGCTTTTCCATTCTGGACATGGGACACGGCCATCGTTTGCAGAGGGCAGTGTGGGTTCATCTGAGCAATGATAACCAGCAGAAAAGGAGCCACGTGGAGCTGAGACTGCAAAGAAGAAAACAAAACCTGGAGTCTTCCCATCTGAAAAACACCCTCCCAGGAAAAGGCATGCTCTGGCTTCCTCAAGTTTTAAAACACGGTTACGGAAGATACATTTTGGATGTGTATAAAAGGCTCTAAGTGTTACTCAATTTCCTCCTAAATTCAAGGACTAAAGCGGGAATTCAGGAAGGCTGCATGTGACAGAGGAAGAAAACAGATTGGAAAATAAAACACCCAATACAACATGTTTTTTGAGGAATGGTAATGCCACAGTGTAAACTGCAAGTGCTGTGAATAGGCCTGGCTGGAGTTTTGTGATGTTCTCCTAAATTAGCTTTCTCTTTGCCTAGTCCATCTGTGAAATGTAACCTTTTTTTTGAATCATGATTTATTCTTTCKGCATGTGTGAAAAGTTTGCCTTTTTGTGGCCATAGCCTGCTTGATTTCGGCTGCTTTTCCAGGCACGAACAGAAGGTAAACAGACATATGGGCTCGCAGATGAGCTTCAAAACTGCTTGGAGGGTTTATTCTAGCAGGTGAGTTGAAGATGCTACCCCAGGGCAGGACTCTGCTCACAGGAGATCACAGACGAGCCATGGAGCCTTCCTTATCCCCAATGAGTTTAGCACCATTTTCAGGGTCTCACCTCTTCAAAGCAGAGCAAACCCAAACTCTGCCAGTGTGGTAAGAGTGGGTTTGTTCAGTTCATTTCCTCACTGTTTTCACACTCACAAAGACGGGGCAGTTCAAGTGCAGAAGCACGGAGTGTTTTGGGGGTGACTGCCAAGAACGGGGTTGCACTGGGCTATAGAAATCATCAGACTAACCTTGGTCACAGATTATTGGGCTGGATATTTAGCCTCAGGCTCTGAAACACACGAATATGGAACCACCGAGCAGCCTGGGTGACACCTGCCCACACACAACAGCTTCAAAACAGATTTTCACCTCTGGTGTCCTAACCAATTGATAAGCACTATCAGCTCGTGAGCACAACAAGCCATTAAAATAAAGATTTTGAGTGTTTGGCCATTCACACACTTGGGTCTAGCAACTTGGGTCTAACTGTAGAAATGCTCCACTAGACCAGTGAACACTTTGGGTACACATTCATTCTCCTATGGAGAAAGTACTCACTTAAATGGATCCAAAACCACTGGAAGACATGGAGAACCTTGCCTGCGTGATGACTCCAAGCATAGGGACAGCCAAGAGAGCCCCTTTGGGTGCAAGTGCACATGYAAAGCTAATGCAGACCTCCACCAGGAGGCACATAGAGCTGTCCCTGTTGGCCTTGGCTACAGCCACAGGTTGGCTCAGGAGAAAGATGACCAGAGAATTGTGAAATCTATATCCTTGTTTCAACATAAGCAAGCCAAGGAGAAAAGGACACACAAATCAGGAGCTTGGGGATGGCAGGGAGGAGAGAACTGTGCAGAATACAACTTATTCAGAAAAATCCTACCAGAAAAATAATAGTAGAAACAGACAGATGTTTTCCCACAGAGAGACTGAGCAGAGTATTAGGGAGACGTGAAGAGCTTAGGAAGTTTGTATTAGTACCTCAGAGCCTCATTGATCCTGCAGTAAAACCCTACGTTGTTTTTTTGGCTGGGATCCTGCCATCCATCCCTGTGTCTTCCAAGGACTTGCAAAAACGACACAATCTTCTGCGTGGAAAAAGCCTTGAGATGCGGCTCCAAGGCAGCTCTTGACAGACGACTACAGAAACTGGGTCACCTTTCACTCCAAGGCAGTGTCAGGAAGCTGGAATCTGCACCCCTTCCCCCCTTGCCTTCCATTAAGCTTCACTTGTGCGTCCATCCCTATTTTCATGTCATTGTGAATCAGCGGGAGCCAAAACCTGACCCTTAAAAATGTGATTCCGCCAGAAATAAGCCTTGCTGTGATCTGAATCCGAACCACAGAATGGTTGAGTTTGGAAGGGACCTCTCAAGGTCATCTAGTCCAACCCCCTGCACATGCAGGGTCACCTCGAAGGCTGGAGAACAGTTGAGTTACTTTAAATAATGATATAAAAGAGTAGTTGCTGCCCCTACCAGGTRACCTCCACTGATCACCTCTTTCCCAACTGAGACTTGAAGTCCCACGTGGGTCTGTCGGAGACTTCCCTACCACAGAGCGTCCCGGAATGGGAAGAGCYAGGGATAACGCAGCCGTCTTTTGACCAGATTCGCATCTCATCTTTGTTCCTGTCATTCACGCCACGCAGAGCTCACAACAGTAACGAGGAGCACTCGGATCATCAGTTCCTTTTGCTGAGGAACCTCTGGAGGCCACGCTATACGAACACAGTGAGGAATCACAAGAATCCTGTTCTCAGAAGATGGGCAAAAAAACCCCAAACCCTCCGATATCACAGTGCTCATGTACACATCCTACCCAATATACAAGAGGGGTTGTGTAAAATTATGAATGGACAAGCACTGCTCAGTTTACAAAAGGGCAAAAAATATTCCTGCATTTAAGGTTATGGTTATGCATTTACAGGTAAGTGAACTAGTGAGCCCCAAAATCTTCCACTAGTCTAGGTATATAACCTACACCAGATGCATTTATATAGCTCTGGCATGGACATTTATATGAAACTCATATATTTACTTTTTTTAAATGACTTAAAAGAAGCCACACTAACTTTTATTAAATAAAAAGTATATAAAAACAAGTACAAAAATGTGATCCACTTCTTTAAGATATAGGCTCAAAATAGAAAGACTGAGCAATGTTGTTCAGGCGGTAAAGTGCAAGGGGAGCTGTTATCCCAGCCATGCTTAATCCATAAATAACCCTTACACAGCACGAAGGAATAGCAAAAGTAAACGGAGAGCAGACGCAACCACACTGTGGCTCAGTTATTCCCGCACATTCACAAGGAAGAGACCTGAATGTCCCCGATGCAGATGATAAGAGGCAACACGTGCCCCACAAACAGGCTGTAAAGAATCACAGGTCTGACAGACCCAACACCAGGGACCCAGCTTTTGGTACCATGACGCAGAGGCTACATGTTCTTCTATGAAATTCCATATTCTGCATCATTTCCTCCTCGTGATGCAACCAGCTCGCACAACTGACTCGATCGTGACAAGAGCTTGCAAACAATTTCGCTCAGGCAAATGCCAAAATTGTTAGGTAGGGAGAGGTCCCAAAGGCTTTGAGATTAGAACAGGATCCTCAGATGAAGATTTGCCTTCCTCCTCCCCACCAGTCATAACCAAGCCAAAATAGCACGTGGAAGAGAAGCTTCTTGCTCTAGGGAACTTCTGAGCAAAAAGCAGAACATGTCTCTCTGTGCCACCCAAAACTGGGAATTTCAAAATGAACAGTGAGACACGACCAAGCACTCCATGCAGTCACGTCACCAGGAGGAGTCTCAAGCAGGTCCTTCACGGAGCCCAAAGCAGGGCTTGCAGTGCACACACACACACACACAGTGCAGTCTATGAATGACCATGGGTCACGTCACCTACATGTGTTGAAGGGCAGGCAGGAGATTTAATAGCAGGGAGAATCCAGAAGGAATAAACTATACAAAAATATACCATTAAGCTGGGGAGCTCTTAAGTGTCCCTTAAGGCAACCACGGTGCTGGTATCTGACAGCACCGCAGCTCTACTGCCAGCTTGCTATAGATACACGTATGCATCTGTCTGCAGCACGCAAACTGAGCAGCCTGAGTGTACAGGGGTGTTTTATTTCATTTCTGCTTCTATGCCATTACAACACAGCACTCCTGCAGCCCGTGATTCTGCTTTTTAAGCATATTTCTGTTTGGTGTAAAAGAAAATCCATCCAATGAGGAGAATATCTCGTTTAATAGAAAAGATGATTTTGTATACAAAGCACTGTGGAAAAGGCCACATGAAGAGCATCATTGAGTTGACATTGTGGCTATTTCTTAAATCAGGACAGAATACGACTACTTCTGGAGCTTTTGATACAGGTAAATGGAAGTTTTGAACAATCTCCTATAAGGTGCATAAGTATCCACAATACAAAAAAAAAAAAAAAAAAAAAACCTATTTCTCCTGTACACAAAATAACATAAACAAAGACCCAGCTAATTATTCATGTCTTGCCATTTTTTTTTCCAGTAGACCTGAATATGCTGGTTTAGTAGGACTGAAAGGAAAGCATAATTTTTAACGTCAAAACTTCCAAGGGGTCTCTGTGCTTCTACATCCGTTGGAGCAATGTGGCTCCTCCAAACTCCGCTCAGGAACACCCAATATGCCAAACTTCTACCCAAAGTCACAAGAGCTTCCACTTGCAAACTGTTGAAAATTTCAGCATTTCCTTTCAAAAAAAAAAAAAAAAGTCATTCTGAAGGTGACACACTTTTAGACCTCAATGATCCCACATCATCTGCACRAGGAGGGTCTAACAGCACCAGCCAGTTGCAGGATCAAGACCCAAAAAGTGTGAAAACCTCCCAAACCAGAGGTATCAAATATTATACATTTACAAAATGCTCTGAATTTTGATTCTTCAAGCTTACTGAAAAGTAGTTTCCAAAACCCTGGGTCTCATCCTGCACATCCTTWTTTATGCAAGCCAACAACTTGCCTGCATATCACGAGCAAAAAGAATAAATACAAAATATATTTGGTATAGAAAACACTAGTATAAAAATTAAAAATCACCCTGTTTTTCAGTCCATCCAAATATTAACAGCAAGCATTACAAGTGATTTTTTTTAACCTATTGCCAAAGTAACTTCCAAGGAGCTCTGCTTTCCCGAAGAGCTGGTGATTGCATTTGCCTTGGAAAGAGGCAGGGAAGGGGCTGGGAAAGGCCAGAGAGAGGCGTTTGTCGTGGGGCGTCAGGAACTGAGGGGACTGAAGAAAACTGAGGCACGCGCAAAGCTGGGAAGAGGGAAGCGGCCGACAAAGGTGGAGCGGGGAAACATGAAGTGGCCGTGGACAGTTGTGGGGCAGCCACCGGCAGCAGCTCCTGGTTGGGGGCATAGGAGCTCCGGCAGCGCTAGCGTGGGCTGGCGGGCCCATGGGGGCTGTGGGGCAGCACTAGGGTGGGTAGATGGGTGCAAGGCCGGGCACAAGGGGCTGTGGGGCAGTGCTAGGGCAGGCAGGTGGATGCCAGGGTTCTGTGGGGCTGTGGGGCGAGGCCGCCATGACAGGCAGGCACCAGGGCGCTGTGGAGGGCGGCACTAGGGCAGGCAGGCGGGCGCCAGGCCGGGCACCAGGGGTCTGCGGGGCTGTGGGGCGGCGCTAGGGCAGGCACAAAGCCGGGTGTCAGGGTGCCGTGGGGCGGTGCCGTGGCGCTAGGGCGGGCAGGCGGGTGCGAGGCCGGGCGTGAGGGCGCCATGAGGCAGCGCTAGGGCAGGCAGGCGCCAGGGCGCCATGAGGCAGCGCTAGGGCAGGCAGGCGGGCGCCAGGGCGC